CTGCTAGCTGAGACCCAGTAGGCTAACACAACCCAGGTCCGAGCACTTGAAGGTAGGTTGACCTGGAGGGGCGGGCCCGCATAGGCTGCCCAGTCTGCAACTTCCTGGTGCACTGTGGTGAGTGGGGACACCTAGATGGCGCAATTCAATCAGATTGTGACTGACAGGGAAGGGAGCTGGGCCTCCTATATACGCTTGCATATACAAGGAACAAAGAATATGGGAAGTGGGAGCAATAAGAAAGGCTCCTCGGCCCCCAATCCTGAGAAAGAGGCAATAGCAGACACAGCACCAATAGATATAAAGTGCTGTCTCCAAAGCCTCATAGACGAGTTCAGGAATGAAGTTATTAATGACCTGAAGCTAGACATAAGCAGAATAGCTAGAGAAATGCTAAGCACCACCCAAGAAAAAACAGATGGTGGAATGGAAGAACAGAAAAAGAGAGGAGAATTGTTTGATGGAGAAGATAGAGAAAGCATAGAATACATGAAACAGGTTCAAAGAGATTACCAGGAAACTAAAAACTCTATTAAAAACTGGCATAACAGCTTGAAAGAAACTAAGGACAGATTATCTGAACTGGAGGGCAGCTTTGTACAATGGGAGCATGAAATGAAAAACTTCTTAAAAATAACAAAGAAACAAACAGCAATAATACAAAGACTAGAAGATGATAAGAGGGTCTATAACTTAAGAATTAAGAACATAAAAGAAGAAGTAGGGACACAAACAAATGAACTACAAAAGCTACTCACAGAAATAATCCATTTTAATAAAGATACTCAGTTGTATTAAGCATACAGGATCCCCGCCACCTACAACCCAAACAGAGCTACACCCAGGCATATAATAATCAAAATTCCAGAAATGCAATACAAGAAAAAAATATTAAAAGCCATCAGAGACAAGAAACAGATCACTTACAAGGGAACACCCATCAGAATTACAGCAGACTTCTCGGCACAAACCATCAAATCATGAAGAGCGTGGGGGGAAATAATTCAAGCTTTGAAAGATAATAACCTCCAGCCAAGATTGATATATCCTGCACAACTGTCCCTGGAACTTGATGAAAAAACAGGATGCTTCCAGGATAAAGAGGAACTAGGGGAATATGCAACCACCAATTCAACTCTACAGAGAATACTGCAGAATATTCTAAAAAAGAAAAATACGAAGAATCCAGAAATAGTGGCAGAGAGGCCACAATGAATGGAGCAGAAAACAAAAAGAAGACAAACTGAGAACTAATGACAGAAAAAGAACTCAACAGAAATGAGGCAGAGAAGATTAGATGATAGGAACAGCTATTTTGGAGAAAATGACGTCTTAATAGGTAATACTGATTTAGTATCATCTTGTTTTGAAGTCTCATCAAGCATTTGTTCTTCTGTCTCCATTGGTCTAAACAGGTTATATCTTATTGGATTTTATTATGTATGATAGTATAAGCAAAAATTTTTATAGACAAGGAGATTATACAGAAACCATTGTTCATTTTCTGTTAGTTGATTCTAAATACCCTGTAATACTGTCATTCTCTTAAATGGTTTTATGTTGTTTTGATATACTTAATGCTACAGTATACGAAGTTGTACTCAAGGATTTCAAGGAAAGAGACAATATGGTAACTACTTTTGGGTAGGGATTATCTGGTGGTGAAAGACTATTTTGCTTAAATGGTTATGTTTTGATCTGCGCTGTTTTGCTGTTATGCCCTCTTTTATCTCAATCTCCATTTTATTATTTACTTATTTTTAATCCTCTTAAGGAAAAATAAACAAAAAAATAACAGGATATATTAGAGTAACCCACTTTGACTTTCCATTATCTTGATTTGAAGCCCTGTATTGCTCTCACCATCTTGTTTTGACTGATGTTCCTCTATCCTGTTTTGTTCGATAGTACCAGGTTTGGAAGTTTAGGCAACAGCTGTGAAGACAGTGGGATTCATTATGGCGCCCATTCTGGTTGACTATTATTTACTTTTGAAGACCTGTAATGTCTCCAATGTTTTGGTTTTGTTGGTTTCGTTCTTTACTGTTTTGTTCAATTTTATTATAACTGATGATATAGGCAATTCCATTAGAGATAGTGGGAGGCATTATGGGAACCATTGTTGATCACCTTGTATTATGCTTTTACATTATCTATTATGTTCACCCTTTTGATTTGAATGACTCTGTTCTGTTATGTCACATTTGGTTTTACTTCTTCCAAAAAAGTAATAAGAACTGTGGGAGCAACAAAACCCAAAATGTGTAATTGTCATTGTACAAAAGAGAGGAAAAGAAAGTGCTCTAAATGATATAACTGCATGTATATTTAAGTGTATAAGATAACATTACTGAGTTTTGTTGGATCATTGAACAGAACTGTTTGCAGTCTCACTGTTGGAATGTCCACCTTATAAGCTTTAATTTTGTAACTTGAACAACTATTTCTAAGATGACAATATGTAATCCATTAACTAGTGATTTCCTACTGTTTATTTTTTTTTCTGTAAATCTGTATAACTTGTACCTTTTTTCTGCTTTTTTTTCTTTTTCTCCTTAAATAAAAAAAAAAGAATTAAAAAACAGGAATGTAAGCTGAGTGTGGTGGCTCAAGCCTGTAATCCCAGCACTCGGGAGGCTGAGGCAGGAGTATCATTGAGTTTGAGACCAGCCTGGGCTATAAAATGTGCAGCGGCTATCAAATCTGGAAGGATAAAGAGTTTCTGAGATGCAAGGAAGGTCTCTAAGGGCTTTATTTTGTCTCGTCCAATCCTTATAGTAACTCTAAATTTCGGTATCATTTCAATTTGCATTTACAGATGAGGAAGCTCTAGCACAGAGAGATTTAGTAACTTGTGCTTTGTCACATGGCTCATGATGTAACAAAGACTGTGACTGCACGAGGCCTGGCCTTCAGAGATTCCCTGCTCAGCAACCCTCGGCTTCTAAGGCTTCAACAGACCAAAAAGCTACATGTTGTGGTAACATTAGGCACAGGCTAGGCTGAGAGTGTCACAACCTCCCTGAAAGATTTCCAGTTGCAAAGAGTGACCTTGATGTCAGAAGGTCACCATTAGGCTCAGTGGGCAGAATCAGCTTTGAGAGATCTCTTTTAAGACCTTGAAGATTCTAGAGCAGGATTTGCAAGGCCTTTCTATCCTGGGCTGTGCATGGGTATGAGGAACACATTCAGGGCCCAAGGAAGCCCAGGGTACCACTGACTCCTGGGCAGCCGAGAAAACTTTCTTGGCCTCTACCAAAGACCTCTCTACTGGGCCACCATACACACAGTGAATTTCATCGGTAAGTGGCCCTTCTTTATCTCTGTGCCTCACTTATGGCTATTACATCTTGAGTTGTGCTTCCCAGCCTGCATGATCACATGAGCAACAGGCCCTCATTAACAGCCTGCTTCTGTCTGCACGCAATTCTCCAAGGTGAAGTCCACCTGGGTCACACTCGGCCTTCCAGAAACAAGATGGAGAATTAAGCTTATTTTCCCATTTTTTTCTTTAAGACCATATTTTAGGTGAGAAATCTGTACCAGAACCTTAATGTGATAGCTCAGACCCCAGAATAAACCCCAAGGAAGCAAGAAATTAAAATTTGGGGAGCAAAGACTTTATTTTAGGCCAGGCCTGGCATCACAGTCTCCAGAAGCCAATTTAGAGACTGCGCGCCTGACAGCTAAAAGTCAAGGCTTTTTATCTTGTAAAAACCATAAACAGCTGCTGGTCTCGCAATGCAAGGAAGTGGGCTGGGACAGGAACGCAGATTGGGCAAACATCTGTTATTTGTAGAGGGCAACAATGGTTAACATATCAATTAGGTAAGATTTTACAATTTTTACAGAGGAGAGCATTTCTTAAAGAACAGCACATTTTATTACAGATAGCCGGATGAGGGGTAGGGGAGGGGGTTACCAGAAACTGAAACCTAAGGCTTTTATGGCCTTTCAGGAAATTGAAACTTAACCTAGATAGATAGGAAGGGGAAAGGGGAGGGGGAGGCAGTAAGATGCATACAGAACAGAAAATGAGGCGCAATGGTTAAAACTAGGTTATAACACTTAACTTTTGATCTTGCAAGCTATGTATGTGTCACTAGATGATCTGAACCAGCACTGGCAAACCTATGGCAGGTGTGCCACAGTGGGTTATTCGCATGATTGCAAGCTCTTCAAGGTTCACCGTCACTGACCAACTGTCACGTCTTAGAGAACATTTCCTCCCCCACCCAGTGTAATGTCAAAAGTCCTTTGCAAGTACAAACACATATGTTTTATTTCCAGCCCCTCGGTCGCCAATCTTAGTCTATGCATATTTGTTAATTTTATTTAAAAGGACAGTTCCAGCAACCCCAAAGACCCTGCCTGGATTCTATCAAACCAAACATCACCCAGTCGGCCACTCCTGGTTCCTCCGAACTTGGACGACAAGACCACCACCACCTGGTGAAAGCATTCCCGGGATGATGTCCTTATACTTTGTCCTCACGTTAAAATCAAATGTAAAATTCCTTGGTTTTCCCTGTGTTTCTCTGTTGGAATTCTGCTGCTCTTTTTCCGTGTATCAGTAAACTCTCGATCTTTTCTATATTCCTCAACTGTTGCTAAATTCTTTTTAGCACCTGCAGAACCAGCCTCTTCCACACGGCGCCTCAAAAGGTCGAGAGGACAAGTGCTTTCCATTACAAGCCGTCCCCAAACCTCCCACTTTCTACCTGCTCCCAGGCCTTCCCTGGTGGCCTCTCCTCGGACACCGATGCTGTCTTGGGAAAGAGTAATCACACCAACGGGTCAAACTCTCTAAGTCCCTGGGCCAGGCGTCCTTATTTGTAACACGGGGACGCCTGGCGATCCCTACTTGGCAACCTAGGCCGAGCATCACAGGTGGTACACCTGCTGTGCTCACGCGCCCACTTCCGCCACCGAGACTTCCGGGATGCTGGAGCGGCCGGAAGGCGTATCGGAAGTGAGACCTCATTCGCTTCCGGCCCGGCCATTGTTTTCACTGCTTCAGGTGCTGAAAGTGCGTCCCCTCGGCGTCTAGGGGTGCTGTGGGCTGGCCGGGAACTAAGAGGAAGCGCAGCGAGGCCCCAGCCTGGGTCGCCGAGGCCTTCCGGGAGCGCGTCTCGTTCCTAGACGCCCGAATCCGTCGCTTGGTCCCGTGGCGCTGACAGCCTTGTTGGGCTGGGCGCTGGGCGCTGGGCGCCGGCGCGCCAGTGATGAACCAGGCAGACGTGGCCAGGTGAGCGGCGCCCAGGAGCCTGATTTCACACGGTCAGACCCGGGCTCGGAAGTTCCAACGTGAAGCGTGGCCCGAAAACGCAAAGCCCCAGCAGAGATCCATTGTGGGCATCAGAACAGCAAGGAAATTAGGGAAATGGTCTGCGCTTCCTACGCGAGCAGTATCTCAGAGCAGAATCCACAGAGAAGTCCGTCTTTAGTGTTTTTAAGACATTAAAGTCAGGAGCCGGGGATTTAGCACCCAGCAGCATAAGGCCTGACTGGCAAGTGAGTTCGATCTTTAGTACAAAAAAAAAAAAAAAAAAAAAAACACGAAGCCTACAGAAAAATACCTAGGGATCCAGGATGCACGATAATTTGGAAGCAGTGCAAATGTAGCTAATTACTAGTAAGCCCTGGTTTTCAGTTGACATTTTACAGTGTATAAATTGACTAAATGTAGCCACAAACTTTCCTATCAGCTTAACGAACCACATTCATTCATTTACCACACTGAACACCCATGACACCTATGTACAGACATGACTGGAAGCCAGCCCTGCCCTTTGAGTGCTTCCAGAAAGAGGAGAAAGCCGGCTTAACTACAAACAGCTACAGGACCAAGTGTAAATGAACGATGTCCAGTCAGGTCACTGGACCAATAAACATCCTTAGGCCTGGAGTGATAGAAGGGGAGTTGAGTTGAGTAGAAAGGATTTGGGATTTTTTGATTCCATCTGGCCTCTTTTTTTTTAGCGGAAATCCAGCAGTGTGCACCGAATGAGTGGTTGGTCGGATTGCATAAATCAGTTAAAGTACAATGTAAAAGTGAAAGATACATCAGCTGTCTTCCTTTTGGGACAGTTGGGAAAGCCTTAAAGAGAACATGGTATTTGTTGTAGGTCTTGTTGTAGGACAGATGAGTTAGAGTTTGTCAGAAATGGGGAGAAAGAAAAAAATCCAAACAGGAAAAGAGTGTGTGGCATCTACCTGTGTCTCTAGAATATTAGTCATGTCTTTATTGTGGGTCTTCATCAGTACAAGAGTTTTGAGACTGCATTCCCAACACATGCAAGATATTCCTAAAGGGGCAGATGAAAGCACTAACTTGTTATTTAACCATATTCGACATGTTTCACAATGTGCATTGAAATCTGTCTGGTAGAACATCAACCTAGGCTTGAATACCCTTGGCACTATAATGTCTCTCTTGATGTTGCCATAGGTGACACTTTCATCACCTCCTACTCCAACCCTGAAAAGCAGCTTCTGATCTGAGCTACAGACCAGACTCTTGGACCAACTACAGCTAGAACAGCTTTCTCTCTGGGATCACAATGGCCACAGAAAGCAGGGGAACTGTAGCCCTCATCCCCAGGAGTGCTGTGTTCCCGAAGCAGGAGGGGTACTTGCCTGTGCAACAGGAGCCTGGAAGGAAGACCTGGGAGCAGGGTTGCAGTCTCCTGAAGTGCCACCCTTCTGTCTGTGAAATCTTCAGACAACTGTGTTACCATGAGATGTCTGGGCCTCAGGAGGCACTGAGCAGACTCCGGGAGCTCTGCCACTGGTGGCTAATGCCTGAGGTCCACACCAAGGAGCAGATCCTGGAGCTGCTGGTGCTGGAGCAGTTTCTGAGCATCCTGCCAGGGGAGTTGTGGGCCTGGTTGCAGCTTTGCCAGCCCGAGAGTGGCGAGGAGGCTGTGGCTGTGGTGGAGGATTTCCAGAGACGCCTCAGTGGACCAGGAGAGGTGAGCACTGTGTCTTGAATGACATCCAAAACTGTTGTGCAGCACTTGGGTTGACTCGAAATAGGCATTCTCTGGTTCCCAGGCTCTGGCTGATTTGCCTTTAGGATTCCCAAACCTTTTTATGACTAAAGAGAAATAGTTATGTCCTCTAAACCAGGAAGGAAATGCAAGTTCAAGTCTCAGTCTGCATTGCTTTGTGAAATCCACACAGCACTCACAGAGATCTGGGCAGTGATTAGAGTATAGGGTTGAGGGTGTCAGTGTAATCAGAAGTTCTTTAGATGTCTCAGGATTCTGGTTTTTGAGGGGGTATTTTTGCTCCCTTAGTTTTAATTTCTATTTTCCCTCTTTCCTGGAGTTCTCTCAAATTCATAACCAGAGTCACTCAAATAAGAGGAAAAGGCTGGCGTGGTGGTGCATACCTGTAAATCCAGTGCTGAGAAGACTGAGGCAAAAGGATTGCTTCGAGTTCCAGATCAGTTTGGGTTACAAAGTGACAAGGCCATCGTGAATTGCATAATGAAACCCTGACTCAAAAAAATAAACAGGCATCTTTGGGGAACCGGAAGAGAATCAAGTAGCCAAAGTTGGCCTTCTGGTGAGTCAACCAGTGCACAGGCTGGGAGACAGGAAGAGCAACCAGGCCCCCAACACCATCACTCCCCATTCCCCCTCCCCAAGCAAATGGCTGATTCAGAGGAACTCAGGCTAAGATGATAGCAACTGAAGTCAAACAAACAATTTAATGCTTGAATTGTTTGATTGATTGTGCAGGCCTAAAACTGGTAATCTAGCATCTGTTTGGAGAATAACTATGCATTAGAGCATCTGGGGGAGTGGGTTTTCCTTCTGTCATTTTTGAAATCCAATGTTTTTTTTTCATTTTACTGTTTTTTAAAAATTTCTGTATGTGGTAACCTTAGCAACTTCTTTTTTTAATTTTTTTTCTTTTTGAGACAGGGTCTCACTGTGCAATTCAGGTTGGTCTTGAGTTCACTTTGTAGCCCAGGCTGGCCTTGAATTTGCAAGATCCTCCTGCCTCAGCCTCCTGAGTGCTGGGATTACAGATGTGCACCACTGCGCCCAGCACAATGCTTTTTTTAAAAAAAATGATTACCTGTCTATGACTAGGGAATCAGTTCCATTTAATTGGAGTTTCAACACAAGATCTTGCTCCAGGAGTACCAAACAATGCACATTTGACGTCATTAAAGCCGTTTTCATAAGTGAGTGCATAGGAATCCAAGAGCCATCCCCAGGGGCTGGGGGGTGGCCAGGCACAGTCACAGTGCTAAGCAGCACCTGTGAGAGTGCTGAGAGAGCCCCCTCAGTGAGAGGGGGGTGCATCCTTATTTCTTACCTTGCTTTGCTTAGCTAAATGGGCAGTTCCTCCATTGGGAGTCTCATTGGTTTATCCAAGGACCCCCAAAAAGGAACTGAGTTGCAGGACAAGAGTCCACGGTTGGTTGGGTGAAGACAGCTGAGCAGTCATAGCTGTAGCCTCAGAATGGGGTCTCTGGATCCCACTTTTTACTGTGCCACTGCAGTCAGGCTGCATTTTCTGACATGAGGGCAGGACTGGCTTTTCCGGCAGGGGTTTGGAATGATTTTCTAGAACAGCTAAGTGAGTCAGTTGCTTCCCTGTGGTGCTTTGCTGGGAGTCAGGGAGACCCAGGCACAGAGAAGCTGTTCCCCTCAGGAGCAAGCCACTTCGCTGCTATGGGAAGAACACGGGTGTCTCTGTACTGGTCCCTGCCGGCTATGGAACCATCCGGCTCACAAAATCCTTTGGAATCCTGTGTCTTGTTTCAGCTCTAGGAAGCCTACAAGACAGGCAGCATCCACATGTGACAAGTGGGTACACACAGGCTCAGCCCCGCAGGTCACAGACTGTCCTGGAGTCTTGGGAGTCACAGATTTCCAAGACGCTGCCAGCAGGCATCACTGGTATTGACGGAAGGACGCGCTGGCTTCTCTTTTCTCCGTGTTTCTTCCCAGAAGGGGCTTCTTACAGGCTTGCAATTCCACACCTTCAAGGATGCTCTTGAACCCAGTCCTATTTCCTTGTGCCTAGGTTTCAGCCTCAGCACAGGAAAAGGAGGTACCTTTGGAGGAGATGAGAGCCCTGGATGCTGGATGAGAGCAGAGGAATCACCTACCTCACCTCTTCACAGGGGCTCGGTGCCTGGAGCCCACCCAGAGCCTCCTCAGTATGGAGGGGCACAGCAGCTCCTTGACTAGCACTTCGATACGCACCAGCCCCGCTCTGCTCCAGCCAGACTTTCCATCTGTTTTCCAGAGTCTCCTTCGTGTGTCTGTCTCACACCCCTTGGAATCCCACATTCTTTAGTGACCTTACTCATTCTCTTTGGTTATTTTCTAGTCATGTGTGCATTTAGAAAGTTTTTGTGAAGCACATGTCCTAGGGAACACACTGGTGGGGACCAGACACAGTACACTATCACTGTTGTTATGGAGATGGCAGGGAGTGTGTCATACAGGAGACAAAGGTATAAGATGCAGGTAGGGACACCTGTCCCTGGGTATTGACCCCCTACCCAGGTGAGCAGTGCAAGCATTGGAAGGTGATCACTGGTAGCAGCCAAGACCATTGTGAGGTTGAACAGATGTAGGATGCTTCGTGGAGGAAACAGTGGTATATTTTGTTACTTTTTTTTGGTACCAGGGATCACACTCAACAGCCTCGAACTTATCAGGCAAGTGCCTGAGCTGCTGAACTAAATCCCTGGCCCAATGGCAGCGGATTTTAAGAGTAGAGGAGAATTTTGAATGCATGAAATGAAGGCATAAGAAGAGAGAGAGGTAGGAGGTAAGTAGGGGAATAAACAAAGACTCTAGGGGTTCCTTGGGCCCCACTGAGGGAGAGTGAAGAAGAGCTATTTTCGGAAACCAGAACCCTGCTTGTACAAGGTTTGAGTTGAGGCCTGGAAGATTTGGGGGTATAAGGGTGAAGTGCTAGAAACAGCATTTCAGGAGGTACAGTAGTAGGCGGGTGCAGTGGAATGGACAGCGATGACCTGAATTGGGAAGGGTGGGAGAGAGGGGTCCAAGTGAGGAATAGTGGGGTGGAGGAGTCCCAGGGCCCAGGAATGCAAGGATTTTGGCCAGTGATGGAACACTGACTGGAAGTGGGAAACCAGGAAGGAAAGTTGGTAATAACATGCATTTTAGGAAGTGAATTAAGGTGTTGGGGCCAGCTGAATAAAATGTCCACTCTCTGGCCTTGTGATGGAAGTTTGGGAGGCAGAGGAGGCCTAGGAGAGCAGGTAAAGCCAGGACAGTCAGTGAGATCACTGATAGAAGTAAGAGCGGGCTGGGCTTCAGGAGTGTCCATTGTCAAAGGGCAGGAAAGGAGGCCGCAGGGTGTCATTGCACAGGTGAGGCGTGGCTGGAGCTAGGAAAGCCAGGGCAGGAGTGCGTGGTCAGAGCATGGCTTCCTTTGGGGAGGTTGATGAGAGTGAGGCTGGGGGCACTTGGGTCTCTGGTTGGCTAGGATCTTGTCCTGCGGCCTATGGAAACATTTCCTGCCGGGCGGGGAGCCTCAAGAAGAGGGCTCAGTCAAAAAGCTGCTTGGGCAATTTCAGGTCCCCTTCTTGGTAACAAAGATGTCATGGCTCTCCTGCCTGAGGGCTTCTTGGATCTCAGTCCACATTCCTGCTTAGGTCCCTCTGTCTAGCCCTGGAGTTGTCTCTTCCAGTGCATGATCCAGCTCCTCTCCTTTGCCCTTTTGCTCAACAAGAGCCTGTGCTCCACAGCCTCTGAACTATCGGCACTGAGCCCCTCAGGATGGGCCTCTTCCTGAGCAGCACAAGCCTGCCTTTTCCCGGGCCTGCGGCCCCTGGGGGTTTGTTCACCCACTGTAGGCACAAGTGGAAAGGCTCAGCCTTCGGTTATCGTGTCGTGAGCCCTGCACCGTGACACGGTGCCAGGAAGTGACCACAGCGAGGCCTCTCATGGTCATGATTCTTCCCCAGTAACTTAGAGCCTGCACTCTGTATGATTTTATGTCCTATTTATTGTACAGGTTTTTGTTGGGAACATTTCCATGCAGAAGAGAGAAAAGTGTCAGGAGCCTGCTACACCTGGCACTAGCTTTAACTGATCAGTATTCTTTTTTTTTTTTTTTTTTTATTTAAAAGGAAACAGAAAAAACAAAACAAAACAAAGCGGTGTAAGGGTACAAATAATACAGAACTACAAAAAAAAAGTAAGAAATCACCAGTTAATAGATTACACATTATCATCTTAGAGATAGTTGCTCAAGTCACAGTATCAAAGCATACAAAGTGGACATTCAAACAGTGAGACTGCAAACAGTTGTGTTCAATGATCCAACCAAAAACATTAATATGGTCAGCTATTTAACACCCCTAAACACACTTGTATCCTTTAGAGCACTTTTTTCCCCTCTCTTTTTTACAACAAAATTTACACCTTTTGGGTTTTATTACTCCTTAGTTCTTATTACTTTTTTTTTTTGGAAGAGAATAAAGTCAAATATGGCAAAACACAGCTCTCAGTCAAAACCAAAGATAGACATAGTACATGATGTAAAAACAGAGTACAAGGTTATGGTTACCATAATGGTTACCATAATGATTGATCAGTATTCTTTTTGCTTTGTGGTTAATGGATACACGGGTGTTTGGAATCTGAGACACTCAGGCTGTGGTAAGCGCTTTGTTTTGAAGTGAGAACAAGCCACTCATTTGAACAGACTTGGAGGAAACAGTCTTGTGAAGAATGAGCCAGGAATCGAGCTCAGGACCTTGCGCTTGCCAGGCAAGCGTGGTGCCACTGCCAGCTAATGAATACTAATGGTACTGCCGTGACAACAACAGCCCGTGTGTGTCTGCATCTCTTCCCACTACCACATGCTTCTGTACTCTGAAACGTCCCATCATATTCCTCAACTCTTACCTGTTCTCATAGCACTTGCTGTGGCTCCTTATGACTTGGCGCCATGCATCATCTCGCTTACGGGTTTGACTTTTATCATTGCCTTAGTGTTTCTATTTTCAGGGTAAAATTTACTTGGGGATTTTGGTTGGTGCAGCCATTAAACATCACCAGTGCGGTAGCATTCTGTGGTCAAGGCCACAGCAGAGGCCAGTGAGTAACCTACAGATAAGATGCTCATGGCTCAGGGTCCCAGTCTGGTCTGTCTTACTGTGGTTTCTTTTTTTCTCTCTCTGTCTCTCTTTTTCTTTTCTTTTTATCGGTACCAGGGATCGAACTCACAACCGCCTGCTTGCATGGCAGGTGCTTAATGCCGCTGAGCTAAATCCCCAGCCCTGTGGTTTCTCATAGGGTGCTTAGCATCATTTGACACAGAACATGATTGTGTAAGTGTCCCTGACAAGTCTGTTACCTGATAGTTCCTTTGATTGACAAGCCTGGGACAATACCAGCTTGATAGAGAGACATTGAGCTGGACATCTAACTTACCACATGCTAAACAGTGGGACAGACCTGTCCGGGTTAAGAAATGCTTGAAAGAGACCAGCATCTTGGTGGGTAGTAATAGCCGTGACTGCTGGGCCTTCTCCCACGTTTTACATGTAAAATTCTAAGTGTTCAACTCATTAGTTTTCTTATTCTGGAGAATCAAGGGCCCAAAGACATACTTTAGTTCAACTTTTAAATTACTGATACCTCTCTATTGGGTTCTTGCAACCCAGTAATCTGGAGCTCCATGGCATTTTAAACACAGGTTTTAAACACTATTGTTCTTTGCAACACTATATCTCGGCAATTATGAGCCCACACATGCGTGGTATCACTGGCCTGTCACACATCATCTATTCTTTTGGTCCACTTTCCAAATCACAGCTCCATAGAAATATTTTATCAGCTCCCTCCCAAATTTGTCCTCTTGTATTTGACCTGAGGTGTTCGCCAGCCTTCTGTCTCCCAGAATCTTTTCTGAGAAATTTCACGACTGGAGAGGAACATAGAGTTCATCTTGTTACCCAGGGACACCAGCCCTGGTGGCTTCTGGGATCTTGTACACTGTGTATTACAATTTGCCTCTTGCTTTCTAACCACCCTACTGGGCCAGACTGGCTCCATAGCCAGCTCTTCTCTCTCTTTTCCACCTCTTCCCTCTTCCTCTGATCATCTTTCTTTTGTATTCCTGAAGAGAAAAAAAATTGAGCTGTTTGCTCTGTTCTCAGTGTGCCATCTCATTCCTTAACTGTAATGTGACTGTTTTACACATAGGTTCAACTCTTGATTATTCTGTTTCCACAACAGGACCATAACTGAGTGAAAGTTGCTTTCTTGTTTCTTTTGGCAGCAGGTAAAAACAGGATGAAAGGTTCGGAGTTTACTGCAAAGGCGGTCTCTAAACACTCAGAGTCACCTGAGAGGTCATCGGGGGGCTGTCTGGGGCGGCTCCTGGATCAGAAACTGGAGATGTCTGTCAAGATATTTTAGAGCAGCTGGAAGGGCCGCCCTCCAGAGAAGGGAGAGGACTGGCCAGTGAGTGCCTGGAAGTTACAGATGAAGATAAAAGTTCCACCAAAGACAGATGTGAAGAGTATGTGGAGGTGATTGTACACCCAAATCCATCCCCCAGTCCTGCACACCAGGGCATTCCAAAGGGAAAGAAATGCTATCCGTGTGCTGAGTGTGCAAAAGTGTTCAGTCAGAGTTCACACCTCCTTGACCACCAGAGAATCCATGCTGGAGAGAAGCCCTACACATGCCACAAGTGTGGTAAGGCCTTCATGCAGCTCACTGTTTACATGAGAAGCCACCCGGGAGAGAAGCCCTGTGTGTGTAGGGTATGTGGGAAGACCTGTTGGCACAGCTCCCACCTCATCCAGCATCAGTGGCTGCAGAATGGGGAGAGATCCTATAGATGTAACGGATGTGCAAAAGCTTTCACAGAGAGTTCTCAGCTCACTGAGCACCAGAGAACCCACAGTGGGGAGAAGCCCTCTGCGTGCAGGGAGTGTGGAGAGGTTTCCATTCTCAGTAGAAGTCTCATGCGCCATCAGGTCCTTCACACTGGGAAGAAACCTTACAAGTGCACTGAGTGTGGGAAAGGCTTCTGTTCCAGCAGAAACCTTGCTGACCACCAGAGAACCCACACTGGGGAGAAGCCTTACGAATGCAGTGAATGTGGCAAGACCTTCAGTCGAAGCAAGTGTCTCCTTCGACACCAGAGTTTCCACACTGGGGAGAAGCCATACAGATGCAGTGAATGTGGGAAAGCCTTCAGCCAGAGCTCTCAGCTCAGTGACCATGAGTGAATTCACACTGGAGAAAAACCTTTTGAGTGCAGTGTGTGTGGTAAGGCATTTGGCCTGAGTAAGTGCCTTGTTCGATACCAGAGGCTTCACACCAGGGAGAAGCCCTATAAATTTGAGGAGTGAGGAAAATCATTTAATCAAAACTCTCACCTCATCCACCAGTGAATTCATACCGGTGTGAGAAACCGTGTGGATGCAGTCGGTGTGGGAAGGTGTTCAGTAACAACTCTAGCCTTATGGTGCATCAGAGGACACACACTGGGGAGAAGCCCTACCAATGCAAGGACTGTGGGAAAGCATTCAGTGACAGCTCGCAGCTGATTGTGCACCAGAGAGTTCACACTGGTGAGAAGCCTTACGGATGCAGGGAGTGTGGGAAAGCCTTTAGCCAGCGTTCCACTTTTAACCACCACCACCGAACTCACACTGGAGAGAAGCCTTCAGGTCTGCCCCAGTCAGCATCTTAAGATGTGGTTTTGGACACAGAACAGTGAGCTTTGTTTATACAGATGCTCATTCTGCTGCCCTCCTGGAACTGTTAATCACTGTGCACCACTGCCGTCTGCTTCCCCCAGGTCACTGAGGTGTGAGAGTAGCAGTGGAATCCTCTACTCTGGGATAGTAACTATGCATTGCATTTACATAAGCCTTCATTTTTCCTTTATTTAATTGTCTTAATGTCTGCTTTATTTCTTAGTTATGCATCTCATAATTAGACTGTGCTTCTTAGTACAGAGGTAATACATCCATTCTATTCTAGCTTGTCCATGTTGCCAGTTGCACAAAGATTTTCTGCAAGGTCCTGCTTGTCTGTTGGCTGTCCTCACCTCCTGTTAGACTCACCCCCATAGAAAGATTCTTACCTGGTGTTTCCCTATGTGGAAAATGTTTCTTTCTTTCTTGTAACCTTTGCTGTCCACCTTATATCTTAAGGGCTTTTTGACATGCTTCTGCATTCCTCTACAATATCTATCAGTGTGGCCGCAATTCTTTGCATTAGGTGGTGCTGGAAGGTGCAGCTGTTTTTACATTTCCTGCCAGATTCGCAGTGTTTTTATGGTTCATACCAACTTTCTGTAGGCTCTTTGCGGTCAGATACATATCTACTTAAACATATAGATAGTAGTTTATGGATGCTAATCGTCAAATAATTTTTAACCTCACCTCATGTTTAATCATCCTTAGATTATGTACTATCTGCCCCTTTCCCCAAGCTTCTAAAGATGGATGTACATCTTATGAGCCATGACATTCAAAGACTTCATTAATGTTTACTGTGTACTCATGGAAGTCATACTACTGGTATTTCAGGCTCAAAATAATGGGTTTGTAAGTGTGTGGAGGGGGATGACTGTGTATCTAGGAATCATGGGCACTTGTGTCCCACTGAGCTGTGTTACCTTGCACAAATGACCTATGTTCGGAATCTGGTCACTGTAACCTGTATTGTTTTTTGTTCTTTGTGTTTTTTTTTTTATACTGGGGATCAAACTCATGACCTCACACTTGCTAGGTAGGTGCTGTGCCATTGAGCTATATTCCGGCCCTGTACCCTGCTTCATTAAGAAACACGAATTAATCATCTGGGGTTGACTCCAGCCTAGCTCACACCTGTTGTCCCATGAAACTGGAAGGCTGAAGCAGATGAATCGCTTGAGCTTAGGAATTCAAGATCCGCCTGAAAAACATAGGAAAAATCCTATCTCTATAACTAAAAAGAAAATATTCACAGTTTGCAGAGGTTACAGTCCATAGTCCAGTGACTCTGAGAAAGGACAGCATGGTAGAGAAATAGCTGCTGTGATATCCCGGAAGCAGAGAGTATGAAAGGGAAGAGTGGGGAAGGAAACCCGCCTTTCCTGGCCCTGTCACCAGAGATTCACATCCGATGACTAGGCTCCATGTTCCCGTGTCACAGCTATAAACTCATCGGTTGACTAGATTTTGATGATCCAATCACTTAACCAAAGCCCCAACAATAAGCACAGGAGGCTCTGGGGGCTATATGTACATAAACCATAACATTTTTGCCCCTGGCCCCCAAAGACTCAGGTGCATCTCTTTATATAAAACACTTAATTCATCTCTAAGACTCCCCAAAACCCTAACAGTTTCAGCACTGCTGAAAAGTGCAAGTCCAAAGGCAAATTATTAGCTGCAAGCCTCTGTAAAATGGAAGTTAAACATTTCCAGCATGCCAAAGCACAAGATAAACATTTCCATTCTAGATGGGAGGGATGGGGGACTGAAACCACTGAGGCCAAAACAGCATCAGAATCCAGCAGGGGAACATTAAATCCCATAGTTCCAACTCAAGCACCCAAGGCAAGTTGTGATAAGATGTGAGTCCAAAAGGGCTTGAGTGGCCCCATCCTGATAGTACTGCTGCAGGTTGAAGATCTCATGGCTTCTCTCTTGGCTGGGCTTTTCTCCTTGAATCTTTCCTCACATTCCACATGGATGGCTTCTCCAACTTCCGGGGGTCTCCACAGCACTTTTGGCTTTACCCTCAGTTTCATGCACTGCGCTCTCTGGTATACTGCTTCATGTCCCAGGCCTTTTCAAATCTGGATAGAAGCCCATTTGATTCCACAACTCATGGATTCTGTATGCCTATAAAGCCAACATCATGTGGATGATGCCAGTTTAAGCAGTAGCCAGGTCTCCTTAAATCATGACAGAAAATGTCTGAGTGTGTGGATGGCTGAGCATTATCAGCTGAATTCTGGGGATCTAATTTCCTGTGTTCTGGAGCACAGTGCCCTGGGGTTCTTGTCTCAAAAAATATTCTTTCTCTTTTGCAGTCTTGAGCCTTCTGAAGGTGAGGCCTTGTTTGTTCATAAGTGCCATTAAGCCATTTTCCCCATCATCCTGTTATAAAGTACTTGGCTTCTTTTTAATCTTTTTATTTTATGTATTTATTTATTTTTTTGAGACAGGGTCTCGTTATGTAGTTCAGGCTGGCCTTGAGCTCACTTTGTAGCCCAGGCAGGTCTCTAATTTGCAACGATCCTCCTGTCTCAGCCTCTCAAATGCTGGTATTACACCCAGGAGCCACCATGCCCGGTGGCTTCTTTTTAATCTTAATCTTTTCATCAAATTGTTCTCTGCTTGTTTTGCAGGCCCCAACTGCAGCTTCTTTTCTGTCCAAACTTCACATTTTTTAAATCATTCAGCTGTGATCATATGCTTGATTTTTAGCATAAACCTGGCTGAAAGCTGGAAGTAGTATCCATGCTACAACTTGAACATTAGATTGCTTTGAATTTGTCTTACCAGATTAATTTGTCAGCTACCTTTAATCTCTAGACTGCATTCTGAGCAAATTTTATCCAGCCTTTCTAGAAGCATATCCCTTTGTAGGAGATGTGTCTTGGTAGAGGATGCTTTTCTCTCACTGTCCTCTTTAAGGATTACAGCAGCCCTCTGTATGTAGGTACCCTGGTAAGTTTTGGGCTGATCATCTTGGTGATTAATGCTTCTTCTGAACCTCAGCCTGGTCCATTTATGATAGATTGTGGTCATCTTTTGAGGAAACTCCCATTTCATTGGGGCTGACTTTAGTCAGAGGTTCAACTGGGAGGAATACTTCCAGTTTTGTTTTCTATTTATTTATTTTTGGTACCAGGAATCAAACTCAGGACATTGCACTTGCTAGGCAGGCACTTATGCCACTGAGCATATCCTTGGCCTCAGTTTTGTATTTTTGAAATATCTTTTGATTCTTTTCATGTCCCTGATAGGTATCCTGAAGTAGATTTTGAGTTGTCAAAGGACACATTGTGTTACCAGAATTCTTATAAATTCTGTATGATCTTAAAGTGGATACCAATTTCAAGTATCCAAAGTTGAGTTGGAATTTTGTTGGCTAACAAGTCATAATACTGACCGCAACTGCTTTGTGTTAAGCTGAGTGTGCTTGCACACACCTGTAATCCCAGCACTCTGGGAGGCTGAAGTAGAAGTACAATTCAAGCCCAGGCTGGGCAACTTAATAACTTGGTGAGACCCTGTCTCAAAAGAGAAAGAAATTAAATTACTGTTTATTCAGCACATTTTACACACACATACACACTACTCTGTTTCCTGAGCTGTAACATCATTTTGGGCTAAATATATGCTTTGTTCACTGTTTATGATATAAAATGTTATTGGAAGACAATTGAATATCATGCATTAGAAAACAAAATAGTGATTGATTTCCACTTTTCAAATATATCTTTAGTTTTCTTTCCTTTTTTTTTTTTTTTTTTTTTTTTTTGTGTGTGTGTCTTTTTGAGACAAGGTCTTGCTAGGTAGCTCAGGCTGGCCTGAGCTCACTTTGTAGCCCAGGCTGGTCTTGAATTTACAACGATCCTCCTGCCTCAGCCTCCCCACTGCTGGGACTACAGACTTGCATCACCATGCCTGGCCTTCAGATACATTTTTGGAAAAAACATTTCTCTCCAGTCTGACTTTGTATTGTGTTACCCTGTTTGCCGTCTGAGAACTACACTCACACAGTATGTGAAGGCACACATCAAGCATGTGGGAATGGCTGGCGTAGACCACTGGCTTCCTAATTCAGGGTGCTACATTCCCTCCCCCACAGAATGTGCCTTGGTCCCCTGAAGGAGCCGACTCCACATTCCTCTTCATGCTTGGTTCCTTCCTCTGCAGAGTGATGGGGGACTAGGGCACACTTGGAGTGTGGGCAGACTCCCCTTGAGCTATGTCAACACAACTCAGGCTCTGGAATCAACAGTGAAGAAAAGTACTTTTTCTTGAGGGAACACCAATTTAACATCACCAGCACAAAATATGGAGAATTCAGTAGTTGTCAGCATCATTTTCAGAATTGTGAGAAATCTGCATTCTATAAATAGAAGAAGAAGGCCAGTTAGGTCTTCCAGGACAGTGCCACTTGCATCAGGTCCCTTGTTCAGTGGAATAGTAGTGACTGCTAAACGTTTTTCAAGTATCTTAACACTGAAAATTATATTAGACTTTAGCCTTATTCATGAAATTCCAAAAGAATCATAACTAAAATTTGTCTAGGAATTACAAGTTTTTGATACATAATTCTCAAAATATATGCTTTAGACAATTCAAATGTAAAAATTCATTTTTATTGGTACCGGGGATCAAACTCACGATCGCCTGCTTGCAAGGCAGGTGCTTATGCCACTGAGATAAACCCCCAGCCCCCAGAAAGCTTAGTCTCTCTTAACAACTCTTCAAGTTTCCCTGTGCAATTCTCCTCTCTTCCCTTCATGAAGTTATGGGTTAGATTTTCATTTGTTACTACTCTGCCTCCTAAAATTAGGCCCAGAGTAGAGAGACCACAGTGATTGGAAAACTCACCTAAAATAAGCTTTTTATTTATAAACTCCCTTTTAAAAAGCTGTCATTTGAAAAAAAAAAACGCTGTCATTTGACAATAGGTTAATTATGTATTAGGCAGACTAAAATGTGGTGTGGCACTATAGTAATTAAAATATTCCAAAATGCAACAAAGTATGATGCCTGAAAATAAATTCATTGCTGTAGACATTTACAAAGGTACACTTAGCTGGGTGTGGTGGCTTACACCTGTAATCCCAGCACTCAGGAAGCTGAGGCAGGAGGATCATTGCAAATTCAAGACCAGCCTGGGCTACAAAGGGAGCTGGAGACCAGCATGAAAAAAACACTAAAAGGGTACACTTATTAACAGAATAAAAAGGTCTTAGGAACAGATACATTCCGAGGCACTATTTTTGTATACCTTGAAGAAACAGGCATACTTTAAATAACTTGAAACATGATTCACAGATTTCTTTTTTTTTTTTTTTTTTTGGTCTTTTTCCTTTTTTTATCGGTATCAGGGATCGAACTCACGACTGCCTGCTTGCAGGGCAGGCGCTTATGCCGCTGAGCTAAATCCCCAGCCAATTCACAGATTTCACTCAATCTCTTAAAATTTCTTTCCTGCAGTACTTTTAACTTTCTCGTGCTCAATCTCGCCACAACTGTTCTTTCTGCTGAAAGAAATCTTTTTTGTATTTTAAAGAGAACAGTTTATTACCCAGCAGTTGCAATGTCAAGCCTATTTTTCCACATAATTTGTGAATTTTTTCAACATGAAATTTTTTCATCATTTGCTTCTCTTCATATTTTCTTGTCCATATCTTGGGTGTTCCTTCTAAAACACTGCATGCCATACATATGGCAATGAAGCATTTTTAAACCACTACCGAAGGATTTACACCTTCATCTGCACCTACCTCTTCACAGGCAATCTTCTTCAGCCATCTCTACGACAAGTTTTTCAGGAACATTGTTTATAACCTTCAAACAGCTTCAAAGTTCTTAGACTAGAAGCTTGGAGGTGGGTGCCCAGGCGCTGCCGCCGCCCTTCTGCTTGTTCTTCGGTTGTCTGTCCTCAGCTTTTGGTGTCCCTGCGTGCCCAGCGACTTCGC